AAGTATAAGTTTCTGAATTACCAAAAGTCATGACATGAGCCGAACATTTTGATATAGAAATTGTTGAAATAGCACAAAAATTGTGGAACAAGTTAGATGTACAGAAAAATTCATCGTCTCTAAAATGTGAATGCTCAATAAAATTCATAATATTAATTTTTAGAAAAGGCTGTACATCATGACAAGGCCTTCTCAAAGCCTTAACTCAAAATTTATAAACTAAAATTTGAGTTTTATAGGACAGGATTATAAAAAAAATCCACTGTTAATTCAAATTTGTGCGGCCAGTTCTTGTTTTTAAAAATGTTAATGATTTGGTTCAACTAAATCCTTAAAAGATGATTTTAATAAGATTTGTGCCGATGATGAGTGGATGGAAACGTCTGAAAGTTTTCTTTGGACCGAGTCCACCTGACTCTGGTTGGAATTCAGGTGGTTCTGGTGTCCCCAGGTGTTCCTCGACGCCCGACTAACAGCATGTCGACTCAGACCAGCTGCAGCCTCTGCAAACCTTTATTTAATTTTTTTTATCTTTGACTTTTTAAATCTTCAGATTGTATTTTAAAGGAACAGTCCAACACTTTTCCTGATGTTTCTCAGAGTCAGAACATCCAGGTTAGCTTAGCTTAGTTTAGCTTAGCACAAAAGAGTGGACGCAGCTGGAAAGTGTTAGCCTAGCTCCAAACCTTGAAGTGATTGTGTTTGGCCTCTCTGGGTTTCCGTAGCTCTGAATATTTATAGCTTACGTTGATCGGGTGAGGTCCTCCAGAGTTAGATTCTAGTTTGTGTTGTTGCAGAGAATTTTAATGTAAACAGCAGATTTTATTGTACATCAGTAAGAATCTCTAACTTGTGATGGATAATTGTGCACACTCACTCTCAGTGTTCACCGTGGCTTCTGTCTGTTCTGTGTTGATGAGCCTCTGTTCGTTCTGTTCCAGATCCTCCTCTAATTTATCTACAGCCGTATTTATAAGGAGACTCGCTCCAATAAAGTCAGACTGTCAAAGTGTTGCCATGTGGCGATGGACACACACACACACACACACACACACACACACACACACACACACACA